ACGGGCCGCGGGTCCCCTCACGGGCCGCGGGTCCCCTCACGGGCCGCGGGTCCCCTCACGGGCCGCGGGTCCCCTCACGGGCCGGAGCCCAGCCCTGTTCCCCGCAGAGCCTCTTCCGGCCGCTCCCGCCTCCCTCTCGGTGGTTGTTCCTCCCGCTCCGCCCTGAGGGGCGGTGGCGATGGCGGAGCTGGGGGGAGGCGGCGGGAGCCCCGAGTCCCCGGTACAGGTGGTACGTGACAGGCGGGGCCGGGCCCAGGTGCCCCGGGCCGGGGGTGCCCGTGTGCGGACACGGGAGCTCGGGAGGGGTCGGGGCTGGCCCGGGGGCTCTCCCGGAGGGGCTTTGGCCCGGGTCGGTGCCGGCTGCTCCTGCAGCACGGCAGCCTCGGCACGTTCGGATACACAGGGTTGGCAGAGAAAGTCAGTGTAATCTTCSGACAGCGTTTCCTGCTTTTGTTACTTCCCGTACCTATACATACATATATATATAGTATGTGTGTATATGTATCTACTGTGTAGATACATATATATATAGTGTGTGTGTATATATATCTACTGTGTGTGTATATATATATATATATATATAGTGTGTGTGTGTGTGTGTGTGTATATATGTATAGTATGTAATATAGCATGTGTGTACATATATCTTGTATAAGTTCTTTATATATGTGCACATTTGTATAAATCATACACATAGGTAAAGTTAAATATATAACATATATATCTACCTCTGCCTGTGTATATAAATTTAGATATAAGAATATAGAAATGCATATAATACTCATCTTTAAAAGTTATTACAAAATTTTTAAAATGCTGAACACAGCAGGAGGGATCAAGTGCAGACTGAAGAAATACAAATAAAAATGGGTTAGAGAACAGGTTGAAAAGTTTATTGATGTATATTTCAATAGATATATTAAAATGTAGATGTATATTTATATAGATATCTATATAATATATATGTATATATCATACATAGGTAATATGTATATGTATATATCTATATATATACAATATCTGTACATATAGTATATATCTGCATATATTTATAATAAAGATATAAATAAAAATTAGTTTTGCTACCACATTTCTTCAACTTCTACATTGTATGTATGTATTATATGTAACGTATGTAGATATCTGTAAATTATGTATAATTAAAACATACAAGTTCAGTTAAAACTGATGAGATTTGGCAGYTGTTTAAGGTTAGTAGCAAATGGTGGAAAGTAAAAACATACAATGGRCAAGTAAAAATGATGAGCAACATCACAGAGTCTCAGATCCTGAACACTGGTCAAAGTTTGAAAATATCACTCGGTTAATTTAAATTAATTTAATTTAAAGTATCTCATATATGAGATTTTGCAAAACCAGTTTGTTTCTGGTTTCTGCCAACAGCCCTGTGTATGGAAATAGTTTGRAATAATAATCGGAAAGCATAACTTAAAAATAATGGTCTGACTTCTTATAATTTTTAGCAATGTTAAAATGCTTTTTCAAGGTTATTTTCCATGTTGAGATATGGGGGCAGATAGAAGCCTGCTTGAGCTGAAATTTGTGGAAACTGAAATCAAATTTTCACTTAGGAGAACAACARTAGTAATGCCGAAAACATTGCAGAACATCCAGTTGCACGTTTTCTGACACTTGAAAACCTCAGGTCTCTCCTCTTCAGTTTTGTGATTGTTGTATTGTTTTTCTGTGGTGTGTTGAGGGAGATTTTTGGATGAGTGATAATTGTGGAAGAAAAGGGATTGGACTACCTGTTACCCATTTCACATTTGGTCATTTTTGCCATACAAAATTCATTTTGCAGTAAAGTCAAGAATCATTATCTTCAGCTCAGTGATAGCAAATATGCATTGCTAAAAACACCTAAAATCACTTCAGGCCTTCATCTAGAATRTAGGAGTTCAGCAAAAACCAGGTCAGTGTCACAATGCTCAAATCCAGGTTTGATTCATAGTGCTCTTTTAAGAGTCATATTTGGCTCTTAGGCCATGAAATTCCTCTCTGTTGGATGCAGCTATAAAACCTAARAAAACTCTAGTAATACAATGCCAGCAATACTCTGAGGTGTAAATCATATTGCTGAGTACAGTTAYTTGTGTGGCTTTGTTAATTTTTAAGGTTTTACACAGAAGTATCTTTAGCAACTCGGCTGTATGCCTTAGTTTRGTGTCCAGTTCTATATGGTGGTCATAGTTCTGTGGAAGTAGAATTTGCTCACAATAATGTGGTTAAGGAGCATGTTCATATGTTATGAGCAGTTGAGTTTAGATCACACAGTGCCATCACGTATTTATGGGTTGTTTTATATGTGCTGCCTTAAAGTACTGTTTTTTCTGCTTTCAGTTCAAACTAAACAGGGAGGTCAAACATCATCTGCTATTTTGCACTTGAGTCCTGTCTTAAAACAGGAGTACACTATGGAAAAATAGCAAAGAAGTTCCAGTTTTCAAGCCAATGGCAAGCTAGTTGGTCATGGCTTAGTCAAATTTTTACTAAGTGAATACAAAAACAAATTGAAAAACAACTGACTTTTCTGGATGTGCACAACTGCACAAGTTTATATTGTCATTGTAAGAATTGTGGAATCCTTTTTTCCTGAATGAATATGTTAGTTTGGTTGGTGTGAATGTGTGGGATCATGTTTTAATTGCCATGTCCACATAAAGAATATTAAAGTCTTGAATAAGTTGAACTTAGTACTTTAGAATCTCAGATTTTTGCATATATTCTAGTGTCAAAGTACTAATGTGAGGCAGTTCTGAAATAATCGTTTTTTGTCTTTATGTTATAATTACTGGGTAATGAGTTTCACTTTTTTTTAAATTTATCCTTATTTTATTTCTTTATCTCTCTAAAACACAAGTCAAAGGCCTGCTTTGCTTAAAATTTTACAGTGTTTTTGTTCTTCTTGTTTTAAGAACTGTTTCATCATTCTGCCAAAAATAAAATCAGAGGTTCATTCATTTTAGATRAGTTTACTCTTTTATTTGGCTGTGAAATGTTGTTAATCATTGTACCCTACACAATAGTGGGCCGTACCTGTGTGTACACCCCTCAGTGTCCAAAAATCTGCCTTCTAATGTGTGCATCTGTGTGTGTTTGTACAACATACATGTATTCATATGTCACTAAATTGTGAATAATTAAATTTCAGTATCCTAATATTCTTTCTTAGGATTATCATCTGCTCACAATAGGWACTAATCCCCTCTTTCTTCCAACCATGTGTTTGTTACCCCACATAATAAGAAGTTTAAGTTGTTTTTCTAAGGACTTCTTGAAATGTTCCATGAGGCTTTCTRTGAGTTACCTAGGCCCTTAAATTCYCCATCTAWAAGTAATTTTAAYAGGTACAGACTTGGGCTCTMCCTTTGCAAACACAGCCAGTGTATCACTGGGCTGATTTCTCAGGACTTTGCATTCTGTSAAGGCAATGTGTTTGTTCTGTTTTGAGATGCTGAAAGAATTTTGGGAGTTGTTGGCTTTTTAGGGATCATTAGAACAGTGATGAGTAACTGAACAGATAACCCCCTTGTCTCTGGTTTCCAACCAATTTTAAAATATTTCAGATATGTTTTCCTGCTTTGTGTACATGTCTGAACCAAGAGGCTGTAAGAGGAAAGCCTGCAGTTGGAATGAYGTTGTGGAACTACATCATAGATCAACTTCTAACTTCAACTTCTAGAGTTGTAGGTGGAATATTTTTTTAAATCTTGGCTAGAGTCCAAGGGTTCACTGCATATATGAGCATCTCCAATTTGGTAGGAAGCTTGAAGAGAAATTGAAGAGTAAGATGGAAGATAGAAGACAAAAGTGAGGAGTGTCTTAAAAAATTCAGGAATACTAAAAACAGGTTAGGGTGGTATTACAGATGTTTCATTAGTGGGCTTGGTTCAGTGGTCTCTCTTGTTTCCTTGTACTGCTACCAAAAACCATCTTGTGAAACTTAAAATAATTTAAAAAGAAACTTGATAGAGAAGAAAGCAAATCATATATTTATMATGAAAATACAGGTTCTTCACCTACTTTTATATTTCTAAGATGCATCTTTTGTTGAAAGTTTCAGAAGGATCTACTATTTCTCCTTTTTAGTAAATATACTCTTAAGTAAACAAAAATAGTGTTTACTCATGTGCATGTGGATTTTTGTTTGTTTTCCTGTAGTCTATCATTGTGCCTGTTCACAACAGTGAATGCTGGTTAGATGAATGCTTAAAGTCCGTTTGGGAACAAGATTTTAAAGGAACCATGGAGCTGTCGATTTTTAATGATGCCAGTAAGGTATGTTTCAGACCTTTTTTAAAATAGTGTCCAAGTAAATACTSTCTCTGACAAGAATTTTTGGTTTGCTTCACCATATGAATCAAAATATGTGTATCTATGTCATTATTTTTTTCTAGGATGGTTCAGCTGAAATAATTGAAAGATGGAAGATCAAGTTGGAAGAAGTTGGTGTTTCGGTAGTCATTGGAAACAATAATTCCTCTCAGCCTCGAGGTGGTATGTAGCTTAACAGTGATTTGTGAGAGTTTGGTTCTTACTGCAGGCACCTTCTGTGTTTTAGTTTAAAAAGTGTCTTTGTAGCCATTGCATTGCAATGGAAAAAACCTCAATTTGTTTTCTAGGGCTCTGTTCAAAAACTCATTCCAGTTTGAATTTGGCCCTGTTGGTTTGAGCTCTGCAGAATTTGTTTATATGTTCAAGAAAAGAAGAACTTGGCTTAGCACTTGTGCTCTACTCTGCAAAAGAATTTTGTTTAATTGTACTATACACAATGTTGTTAGTGCTTACAATTTTACTGTGGCTTTCTGATATCTGATTTATCTTCATGGGATGGGTTCTAAGAAAAAAAATAAATTCAAAATTTCCTACATAAAGATTTTTAAAATAAATGCCTGTCTTTCAGTCTGTTAAAATAGACCCTGCAATAGAAAATAAATACCTTTTTGATACTGCTTCAATGATCAAATCAAAGCAGAGGTTTTCTAAATTTCGATGTGAGCTAACAACTCTGAAAGTCCCTAAGTATTGACTCAAAGGGCTAAATCAGTATGTTTAGTGAGTGACAGACAGGTGTATGATGTTATCTCCTATTCATGTACATGTTAATATGAATCACGTTTATCCACTGCAGGAGATTACAGACAAATCTCTCTTAACAGATTTTCTTTTGCTTGTTTTGGTTGGTTYCTGTTTAGGTGATTTTAGCACAAAAGCTTCCTATAATGTAAAATAGAAATAAAAGTTGGTTGATTTGTTAAGAAGCTCTTGTTAAGTGACAGTAAAGTTGGAAGATCATGTCTGTGTTCTGAGAAAGAACAGCAGGACAAAGGAAGAACAGTGTGCTCACATTTTAGGTGCGGGCTGTGTAACCAATGTTTCTGTCATTCTGGACTTTGTTGTAATGAGTAGACAGATAGGAATTGTTAAAACCCTGGCTCCAAATTTGTGTCTTTGAAGTTATCTCACTTAAAAGTTTGGAAACACTGTGACACAAAATTGGGAGTGTTTCTGTTTTTTCACTGATGTYTCACTAATGTCCTGTTTGAAGTGGAAAGAAACTCGGGCTTATTACAGTCTTCCTCAAAATGATCTTCTTATGCAAAAGCCCAGTTCTGTTTTAGAAAGTTTAATTTTCATCCCCTGTTGAAACGTGCTAATAAACTGGGAGTTTGTGCACTGAATTCATCTGCAACCTGGTATAGGCCCCTGGCTTCATTTGCTCTTCTGACTGTAGGCTTTACATCTGTTTTTAAATAGTTATCAGACATAGAAATACTGAAGTAACACAGCATAACCATTACTATAAATATTTTTAGTATTTCAATACCTCTAGCACGAACTGGTGTTGTTTTGGTAGTGCAGCTTGTAATATTAGAATTATTGAGGTGGTAGTGACAAAAGGCAGACAAGGTTTTTAGGGGGAATTTTTCACTTTTGGGTAGCTGATATCGCTGGAGTTAAGCAATGCCAAGAGTTACTCATATTCTTGGGTGATGAGTCTCCTTTCAAAACTGACTTCTTTTACTAGTTGATAATCAAGAWACTAAGTAAGTTACAATTTCTTAAATCAAATAATAACCCCGTATGTTGTTAATTCTAATACTTAAGATAGTAATTTTTTTTAATACCATTGTGTTGTGTAACATGTTTTCCATTTTTATAAACATATGCTATGTTTGAAGTCTTGTTCCTAATAGAGTGTTGTATCAATTGTGTAAAAATTGGTTTTTAGTTTGCCGGAACACACAGACAGGATAGTTATATTTATATGACAGGATAGTTATATTTATATTAGAATTCTGATGTCAGTTCACCTTTGCTCTTCAGGAAACTGAACCTAAAACTGAGTTCCAGTTGTGAACTCCATTGTGCCTTCAGGGGTATGTCAGATTATTTTTTRGTTTAACATGCATTTGTCAGTGTTGGGGTAGCTGGAGACTGAACAGGTCTTTAATAAACTGGGGGTGGGAATTGCAGCTGTGCACTCTTTAAATAATAGTGTGAAATGCATAGTTCTGCTAAAAAACAAACCCAGGCTTATTCATGTGGAAGTCACTCTCARGTCACCATTAAAACAGGGACATCTTTACTTCATGGTTGTTAAATTTTAGGAGCAGGTTACTTGAAATCCATAGTATTTTGTTTGCTTTTGGTGATTTACTTTTATTATGTTAAGGACTAGGTACAACTGTAAAGAGTCTTGCCTTTAAAAGAAGATGCTTTGGTACAGAAACAATGTACTAGTAAGGCTTCACATCTTCAACTATTTACACAAGATTAGGATTTATTTCTGATTCTTTTCTARCATGTAAAAGGAAGGGGGGGAACGTAGGAAAAAAGAAAGGGTCACTTGACTAAAAAAAGGAAACCTTTTTCTTTCCAAGAGTGAGGAATGTTAATATCTCACTGAGGCTTAAGTTTTTACGGCTGTAACCATGGTAACAGGCTCTTTTCACCAAGTAAAGCAGGCCTTACAAAACTCAGAGACCTGGCACAAATATTTCATTTAGTTCAGTAGAGTAATATTAAAGAAATTTTTTTACTCATGCCAAACATAGAATTTGTTGTGGTGAAAGAATTTTTAATACCTAGTTTCTTCTATGGGGAGTTATATTTATCTTCATAATAATTTAAAAAATATGTTTATTTTCTTTTATCTCTCTCCACTAAAAAAAACCCTGGTATATGGAAAATTTCAGGATGGTTTCTGTCTTAAACACAGTAAGAAACATTTTCCAACTCTTTCTCATAACAAATACCAGATATTTCATGGTCTTATTTAAAGTTTTCTTATTTGAAAATGAGATCTGAAATATTTCAAGAAGTTTATAGAGTAATATAATTGCCATCTTGTAGTCACTCTTTTCCTATGTTTTTGATTGCATGTACTTCATTATCTACTGAAGGTTTTTTTAAATATTTTTGTAAGGTAATGACTGCTGAACTGTAAGTACAGGTTGTGTTACAGCTTCTGGTATGGYTTCTGATAGTACTGATGTATTTGACATTGGGCAGATTTAATTCTGTCCTTGTTTTTGTGCTGTTCTTTTATCTCTTGCTTTACGAGGGACCTCCACAGAATTGGGGGTTTGCTGGTTTGGCATGTCCAGACCTGTTGACTTGCATCAGTTGTTTTCCACTAAAACTGCTCATGCCAGGATTCAGCTCTGCTGTTGTGGCAGCTCCTGTCTTTGCCAACTGCTTTTTTGCTGCCAATAGGAAGGAGACTTAGAGTGACTGTATATATGAGATTAGATATTCATACGTCTATAAAAGGTAGTATGTAAATATACTGTCAAATAATAAAACCRAAAGATCCACGATGAAGAGAAGTTAAAGTGAGGATAAAAATACATWAAAAATAACACAGTTACAAAGAAGAGCCTTTATTAGTGGTGTACTGATGGTAGTTGACATAATGTTCCTTGGAGGCAGTAAGTAATGCAGTCATAAGTCTTTTTCTGTACTTGGACAGCTCAGCAAAATAGCCAGGGAGCATGTGCATTACAACTAAGGGAAACTTTGAGCCCAGTTAAATTTGTTTCCTGAGCAAACTTAAACTTGTATCATATAAAAAGATAAGAGAATTACAGAACTCTGCTTTTTTTTCCAAATGCAAAGTCAGAAACTTTATGGGTAATACTATTTTAAATTATTCTGCTCCACTTTGTGGTGAGATTTTTTGGCTTAACATTTCCAGTATTCCCCCTAAAGAGTAAAAACCCTGCAATATTGCATGTCTCCACATAATTTGTTTTGTAAATCAAGGTGATCTTGCTGGATTCCATGACTTGGTTTTAATAAGTACTTCAAAGAAAGCTTAAGTGTTACGTATGTGACAATGTGGAATTCATACAGCATTTTTCAGACTAACACTGGATGTAGTGTGGTCTTTTATTATAATGCTGCCCAGGGCAAGAATTCAGATATCAGAATGTTCTTAGGTRCATCTTGTCTACCTGCAGAAATGATCCCAGGTAAGCAGTCCTACCATGTGGATGTATTTCAGTGGTAAACTGAGTTCACCCTTGTTGCTGGTTGCTGCCATCCCATCCTTCCCTCCACTGTGGATTCCTGTTCCTTTCTATTTTTTTGGTTCTGCCATTTGTTTGATCCTCCTAGAACAGTCATCTGCTTCAGARATTAAGCTGACAAAAAATTTACTTCTGGTTCAGCTTCCTGAAATGAATGGGTTTGTAAAACAATTCAGCAAGTGTCAGGGGGTCAGAAAGCAAGAGACCYTAGATGCCAGGTTTGTCATTTGTCTGAATTGACATTTCAGTGTGGTCTTCCATCAATGCCATAACATRTTATGGTATAAATAAACCACCTTTGTGCTCTGTGTGTGAATCTAATAAATAAGCCTGCTTTGGCTTCCCTCTGCATCACACGTGCCATGACATGACTGGCACATGAAGATTTGTATTTGCAAACTTWAATAAGCACCAAGAAGTAGAACTATCCTTGAGTCCTTCTGAGAACCTTGTCCCCTGATGGGAAGAACAGCGGTTTCTKGTTCTTTCTCTGCCTCTTTTTTATTTTGTTGGTATTTGTTAGGACTTAAAAGATGAATGTATATGCAGCCAAGGGTTTTCGGCATTTGCTCCTTACAAGGGGTTGGAATAGATGACCTTTAGAAGTCCCTTCCAGCCCAAACCGTTCTGATTCTACAAGCTGAGGTTCTGGATATAAAACCTGCCCTCTTCAAGTTACATATTACATATTATGTCTTTGTGGAGGGCTAGCAAAAGTAGTCTTATTCTACTGGATGGGAGAATTCTGGTTCTCACTCAGAGAAGGTGACTGACATAGACATCCTACTTAAATATTCATAAATTACCTTGTTTAAATATGGAAACATTGCATACTTTATATGATACTGATTTTTCTCTTTTCTTTCATCTGTTCCTCACTTTTATTAAGATTTTAAAAGATACAACAATAAAAGCTACCCCRTATTTTTATCTTTGCTTTCTCAACAGTTGGATTTGCTAAAAATCAAGCAGTAATTCAGAGCTCAGGAACCTACCTCTGCTTTCTGGATTCAGTAAGTTAATGCTTTTTGTCTAATTTGGTTTTGTCAATGTAATCGTTTTTAATGGAGTTGTTGGTTTGCTGAAAGACAAGCTGCTTAAAGGTGTTTGGTTATTAAATGTGCTGGTTGCTATTTGTGGTTGTAAAGTTGTATTCCAGCCTATAGAAAGCCTTACACAATTTTTGATTATATCAGATTTCACAAGTTGTTGTGAACAGGCCTGGGCAAGGTTGGTATTCAGGTGTTTTCAGGATTTTTCTTTCCCACATTCTTCAGAAAATTGTATTGATGAGGAACTAAGAGCTAATCTTACTGGCTTTTTGATGCAAAATAGGAGAGGTCTCACCTTCCATCTTGAATTTTTTTTTTCCCTGTCCTTTGTTGATATCTTCTGTGAAGCCATTCATCTCACTAACCCATAGATAAGTATCTCACTTTGTGCAGCTGAATATTCAGGGAATGGTATCACAAAGGTGTCCAGCTGAGCTGAGGAGTGGGGCCATGTGCTGGGAGCAGGTAAGAAGAGCAGGACCTTCAAGGCTCACTGATCTCATGTAATTTCACCTGAAGATTGATATTTTTTTCCTCTGAATTGGAACTGAGCTATAGGTTAAGGTGGTACAGGATGAACTGGCTGCTGAAAGGGTAGGTTTTCAGATACAATTCARCTTAATGTTGTGATTGTCTGTGCTTGTTAAGAAGTATTATGAGAAGAGGTATGTGAACTCTATAGCCTTTCTCAGGTTTTAATAAGGAAATCTTTCAGTTTGCAAACTCCACTTGCTTTATCAAATAGATGGAAGAATTTTTTTTTTGTTCACATGTTAAAATTTTGTGATTTAATCAGTATACTGTTGAAAGACATGGTTAAGGGTTGATATATTTCTTCTGACTCAAGGAAGTACAGCAGAAATATCTTGTCTTACCATTTGAGAAATTAACTTTTGCAGGTAGCTTTCCTGGCCTTTATTTTTGCTTTTGTTARGTAATTAGTCTTCTCAGCAACACAGCGTACCTTGTAAAATAAGTTTATTTGAACTTATCCACATTTAACAGTTTGTTGGTTTGGGGTTTTGTTTGTTTGTTTACAGAGTGTATTTCATGTAAATCTTATATAAGTTTATGGAGGATGAAACTTTGAAATGCAGTATCTTTTACATATGGGTATTACAGAACTAAAATTTTGAACATCCATTAAATGCCCAGAACTCATAATCACATGTACAAGTTACTGGTGTTTAGAAAGGTCAATTTCACAGGCATCAAAAAATAAGTATTTCATATCCTGCACTGAACATTGGAGCCCGTTTCATAAACAAAATGTTTTGACTGAGTATGAACGCAAAAGTCACTGCTCAGATTTTGAGCACCTGACTGACCAGGTTATGAAAGAGTGTAGGGACCTCATAAATTGTGCCTGGAAGATGCCAGTTTTCCTGAGATGGATGAATTCAGGATCAAGTTCTTTTTGCTTTACTTGAGTAGGTACAAAACTAAGGATCATTTTTTATAAGAATGATTTAACTCTCCCATGTTGTTAGTCAGTGAGGCTGTTCACATATTTAAAATTAAAATAACCRAAAAACTTTCTTATGATTTGCAAARTTCAGGTATTCCAGGCTTGAGCAGATACCACACTGGTATAGGGCATTCTAGGGAGCCTGTGGTGTGAGGAATGTATGTACATGAGTTGAGTGAAGTTASCTGAGTCCATGTGCAGCATGAGGGAGAAATGAATCTGCTGTTGKCCCATGGAGCTTTGTACCTTCTGTCTCAAATATGTATAACATAGTGTACTGAAGTAAATTATTGGTTAGTCTTTCTTTTCAATCCAGACAGATATAGTTGTTTGTTGTGTAGTTGTTTGCTAGTTTACTAGCAGTAAATTAGAAAATTAAATTATCTAAATTAAATTACTTCATATTTTTATCGTGATTCTTCAGAATTCTCAATTTGTTATTTACCATTTATACATCATCATGCTGCTGTGTTGTTTCTGTTGGCTGACTAAATGATGCAYGAAACCAAAACATCAAGGAAACAAATTACAATTATTAAGGATAATGATAGATAATGATTCTGTAGATCTGCATTATCATTAGCATAGTTTATATTTAATATTATCAAGAATTACTAGAAGTGAGTTGAAGATTTTATGATTTACAGTATGGATAAACTTASGAGAAGTTACCAAGATTTTCTGTTCTATGCATTTCTATTCCTTCTTCAAAACAAAGGCATTCTGGACTACTAATCTTGCTCCAAAAGAAATATTAAATGACTGGCATTATTTAAATATATTTTCTGCTTCTCTCCTTGTGACTTCCATTTTTTGTTGAAAATGGATTGGAGGAAAAATTCAATGTGGAAACTGCTAAAAATTGCTCAATGTCTTGGCCATAGTTAGTAAACATTGTGTGATAATAGCTGGAACACAGATGTTGCCAGCTGTTTAACAACTCTGCTTCCAYACACCACCTACCTTCTTCATTTCAGTCACCAATCCAGTATCCAGCTCTCTAGGAAGGAATGTTGATATCAGCCTTTTGGAATGTGCTGCAGTAATGCCAAGGAACTGACCTTCAGAAGTACAGCCACAATTTCAGGTTTGCCACAGGTGGATGTGTAGAGAAATGGGGTTGTAGTTTGTGCACATTGCAAATAGGTGGAGAAATAGATCATGGCTTTTTKTGCATTCTTTTGTCTTCTCTGAGTGAAATGAATGAGTGAATATTTGGGAGCATTTTTGGAAGTACTGGCTCCAGCAAGAGCGTTTTTGCTTGCCATTCCAGCTGGAGTCAAGCTGCTTGTGTTATGTCTCTTAACACGGATTTGTGAGGACAACAAACGGGGAAGAAATGTGGAAAAAAAGGGTTACTGATCTCAGAACTGTCAGAATTTGATCAGCCTTTTCCAGTATGAAGTGGCAGCTGTTTGACTAACAGCTATTGTGGAGTTTTTTTTTTACTGTGATTGTTGTTACAGATTTCACCTTCAAGCTACTGAGGCATTTTTTTCACCCCTGGGAAAGCAAGTAGAAAAATTGAAGATATTTAACAATTTTTTCATATACAACGTATATGGTATGAGAGAATGAGAGCTAATTTTGCAAATATATTTCACTTTTAGCTTTTCTTCTTCAAATTGTCTGCAGTTACGACTTTATCTAGCAGTTTCATTGTACTGTAGCTGTAGTTTGTCAGTTCTCTGGGGTGGTGCCATCTTTGTTAGAAGCATTTAACCAATTGCAGCACAGCAGAACTCTTACACTAGAAATCTACTTTGAACTGCTGTTTTCATTGACATGCACTTAAACATGTCTCTACTTGTCTGAAACTGTATTTCTTTAAAAAGAATCATGCTTTCATTTCATTCTAATTATCTGTGTAGTTTCCAATTATTTCAGGTTTAATCAGTGTTTTGGAGAGTTCCTGGCTATTAAAGAGGAAACACATAAATGTGTCCTTTTTTTGATGTGCAGTATTTCAAACCCAGTCATATTCACCTGAGTTCTTGACATGCTTGTTGCAATCTTTTGAAAGGCTTTGTTGGCAATGTGTCATAATTTCAGAGATTCTCAGGCAGTTAAAAGATGTGACTCTAAGCCATGTTGCCACAATGTCACTGCTTGCTAATAGTYAAAAATGGCATGGATATACAGATAAGTTTTATTCATCAAAAGTGAGGGTGAGCCACTGGATTTGTCATTCTTGTGTTCAAATTGGCAGCTACTGACATGTGCCTTTCTGTTTGTGAAAATTTGTTTGTATGGTTTACATTGGGAATGGTAATTCTTAATTGCTGTGAAATTGTGTGTGTTCCTTGAGGTTCAAAYCCACCTCATTGAGGGGGTGTTGCTAAAGGCCTTGGAGGGAGGTGGTTGCACCCTCACTAGCCAGATGTGGTAATGTGTCAGGCACACATCTTGTTTTTACAGTCTCTGTAACTTCCTGGGCTTGGAAGCATGGACTTCCTCTTAGTTGCCATTATACATTACAGGCACTAATAAACTTCTGAAATATTCTTCCTTACTTTCAAGTTAATGTCTGTATTTTTTTAGGAAATTAAGATGTGATCAGACTTCATGTATTTCCTTTGTGTTATTGTTAAACATAATGTTCCTTGGGAACTTCATCCTCTGATTTAAAAACTGAAATAAGCTGTTACTCAAATAGCAGGTATGTGGGTGTAGTGATGCATCCCCTTACTAGAAGCCCCTTCTGTCCAGAAGAGTTGTCCATGTTTCTGAATTAATAATGAGCCCCAAAAAATCAAAATACGAGTGCTTGAAGGCATCATTCCTATTATTGTTTTGTAAAGACATGCCTGTATTAAAAACCAATTAAATGCCTCTGTCTGGTATGATATGATGTTCTTCTTTTTCATAAATGAAGAAGCAACCCTTCAGATTTGATTGCCATAACCTCTCCCTACATGTGTCTTCATCTTTTTAGTAGTTAAAGAGGGCATTTGGAACTGCTGGTGAAGCTTTTACTCCTGTCTGAGTTTACTGGCTTTGCTACTGAATACCTTGTGAGTTACCTGCTTTGCTTGACTGCAAACRCATCCTTTTTTCTCAGTGATCTAATTGTGAGAAAGATCAAAGATGATCTCCAGTGACCACAGAAAAGCAAGGTATGGAAAAGCATGTGTCTGCATTTGTTGAACAAATGCATCAAGGTGGGGGCTGCTTCTACAACAAAAGTTCCCTGACCAGCTAATAGTGATGCTTAATTAAAAGATTCCATAAAAAGATTATGAGGCTCGTAAGAACACCACATGGATTTTCCATCTAAATCTGTTTGTTGCTATGCTCAAAAAAAGAAAGGTGCTCAATGCAGTCAGCTTCTTAAATTTGAACTATTTTCTTTGTTKTCCCCTTCTTTCTCAGTTTGATTTGGGATTAGAAACAGAAAAGTAGTATTTTTTTTCTATGATCTAGCAAGTACTGACAGATCACTAGTCTCAGGTGATTTGCAGGAGCCATTTAAGGGCCTGCTGGTTCTAAAGAGTTTGATAGTACAGGGCTGCTTCAAAACTCTGCCACTGGAGAATTGCCTGGGATCAGGGTATTTCCTTTGGTAGAGCTGTTGACAGGCCCAGTTTTGGAGGTCCCAGGCATTTCACTTCCCTGGTTCAAGGAGCTGAACAGAACAATAGAAAAGAAAGATTTTTCCCTCTAGTCTGAGCAGGTGCAGGATAAATGAATGGATCCTTTGATGAATTGAAACATTTTAGARATGCCATATTGTTGCTCAAGTGAGTGAAACATTCCTTCTGGTGTTGCTACTGGTTGTATTTGGTGTGTAATTGCAATGAAAAGAAGGTGCTGTTGTTATGGGGGTGGAGTGTATCAGCTCTCAATTTTTTTTTTTTTTTTTTTGAGCAGCCGCATATGAAGGACTTTGAAAAAGCACGAGATGCTGAGTCTGCAATAGGAGCACAAGAAAGCACCTCAGTACTGAGCTATAATTAGTGGGGTTTTTTGCTGTGAACTTGTCCTTGGTTGCAAAAAGTAGATGTGCATTGTGCATTGAGTTGTGTGTTTTGTTCTACTTTCTGAAGTACAGAAACACCCATTTTTAAGGGAAAATGTTGAMGTTTCCACTGTGGAGCCCAGGGTGGTCCACACAGCCTGACTGAAGAGGCCACTGAATGCTTGTCATTTGAATTTACCCAAATTAATTTAAAAAGTGCATCCTGAAAAAACATATTTGTATGGTATTCTTAAGCACAGTCTAATGATTCAGTTTTCCTTTTCTTCAACTAAACATATGAATGAAGTTTAACAAAACAATTAGCTCAATATGAATTGTGTGTGTTTTGATGGAGCCTGGTGCTTGTGGTAGGGAGAACATTCCAGCTGAGTCTGTTCCAATCTGACAGTGTCTGCTGCTGTGGAGCTGCAGGAGCAAGGCAGGTCCTTGCAGGGGAATGTGTGTGATGGGACACAGGCAGAGCTGGGAGCTGCTGGGGATCACAAACATCCCTGGGCTGTTTGGGAAATCCTGCTRCCTTCCCTTGGGAATAAAGTCCTCTTCATTCCCCAGTGCTGCTGCTCAGAGTGGACACTGCAGAAKAGGAACTGTGTTTGTAATCAACAAAATTCCTATAAATTCTGATTACTTTGAGTGCCTAAAGTAGATTTCTACTTATGTCGCTTTATTTTCTGCTGTTTACCTGTTTGGCCTTGTTTGCATTGTATATATGTATGTGCATAGTTAGATGACAGTAAACCCAGGTATTACCTGAGACTTTCCTAAATTTTTCTGCTRAGGTTGGTGAGTGGGGTCACATGAACATAGATTTATTTAGAGGTTCTCCTTTATGTAGCTATTTTATTCCAAGTAYATGGTTAGGGAAGGCAYRTGTTTATTTAKCATTTATTTTAAATTTGTTCTTTARTYCATTCTTTTCATGGGGGAAATTTCTCTTTATCCTGTCTGCTGTGTATCTACTAGAGGACAACCATTACAAGCTTTCATGTGAACAGAGAAAATCTGATTTCACTGGAAACTTTGTTCAACTTCTGTTTTGTTAAAATTACTTTTTAATGTAAGTCGCTGCCACTATTGTTATCTTCCCTACTCTCACCTAGGAGACAGAAACAAACTAAATATACTTCCCTTTTTGGTATAGGCCGTTTTTCATTTTCTGTCTGAAATGAGTGAAAAATAATTTGTGAATTGTTTGTCTGATTACTAAGGTTTTGCTCTCAATTTTAAACCAGAAAAAAGGTGACTTAACTCTGCCTGTAGAAACTGAAGCCCASCAACACATTTGCTGAATTCAATATCATAGGTGCAACAGCTTTGATAAAAAATTTTGATTGCATAATGTATAGTTGGGTAAAATATTTTATAACCTTAGTTTTCTCATATTATAGTAGATAAAATTCCATAAATTCTTACTGGTACATGGTTGGGCCTTTCGCTCCTMTCAGTGGTCTCTAAAGCTGAAAATTTTTTTAAGGTTCACCTAATTTGTGGTGCAATCATTTTGATTTTATTCCTTAGAATTTATTTTGGTTTTTGAGCACTGGTATTAAAGCCATCCAGGTTCTCTACAATGATTTCACTATAAATACATTCTGTTTGCCACTTCATGGTTACCWTTCCAGTCATCAATAGTGAAGAATCTGTTCAAGTTGGATTTTGCAGTTACCTTTCTTGTACAGTTGCCCAACTTGAATCCAAGAAGCTGAATAGCAGTTGTGTCTCAGCTTTGTCTGGGATGTGATTCATATTTTGTGCTGTTCTTCCTCATCATCTAACTGCTTTATTATTGTATTTGGGATTATGTATTAAACTGTTATCTTCCTTTTTTTCCTTCTTCTTTCTTTCTCCTTTCATGAACTCAGAAGGTATCACAGAATGATACAATCAGTGCAGTATGTGTGTAAAGCTGTTAATAAAAAAATGAGACAGAATTATTAAAATAAAGGTCATTCAGGGTAAGAGTTCASAGAGTTTTCCAGCATTAGAGAAGAAAGCTGCATTAATAAAAAGAGGCATTTAGAAGTTTTTGTGGTTATAGTGCCCCCTCTTTAGCTGGAGTTTACAGAATACTGATGCTCTCTGATAGCCTAAGACCCAGATCTGTAGATGTGTGAGTTTTGCCAATAGCATCAAAATGACAGAGTGTTTTCTTAGGGGATTGAGGCTATTCCTGTCAAATTGTGTGGTTATGAAAACATGACATTGACCTCTCTGGTGCATARGATATTTTAATTTGGTTTGAATACYTTCCATASWGGTTTAACCTTTTTTAATCAAGTATAGAATTTTTCATATTTGTGAATGGAAGAGTTCTSTCTGTTGTGCAGGATCATGAACAGTGGGATCTTTAGCACAAGAGCATATGTTATGTCTCRTAAAAGATGAGAGTAACATTGTTCTAAGCATTGAAATTCCTGGCTTTTTGGTGGATTTCTTTTTTTTTTTTTATTAATTTAACAAGAAGAAATGAGGATCCTTAGCAACTAGTAAATGAGTGAACAAAGTTCAGTTCAAATATATCCCCTATTGCTTRTATGAAAACTAGTTTTTAATTTACAGAAATCAGCTCTGTATTTGCCATAAAGAAATAGGATTATGGTTCTTCCTCTGGGAAGTAGGGTCTAKGTCTTATTGTAATATTTGCTTGAGTCAGTGCTGGAATTTTCGTGCTTTATTGCTAAAGTGGATTAAATGATAAATAATATTATTGTAGGTTTGAAGAAAGTCATGTAAAGAGGTTGAGAAATCAGAAATGTTTTTCTCAATCTACTGGCTTTGAAAATCAGTAACAGCTTTCATGCTTACAACATACCCTAAATGCAAAGTACAGAAAAATGCTTTTGGCAATGTAGTYCTCCTGTCTTTTATAAACTTACGTGTGATAAGGGTCAGTTTTATTATTATTTTGTTTTATCTTTAACCTTGAATTGTATTAAATAGTTGGATCTACTTCTAAAACATTTTTATCATGTGTTGTTTTGATARAACTATAGTGACCCCTTTATAGCAAGGTCATTCAACCCTTCAAGCTCTAGATATTTAAGCACTAATAYATTTTTTGTTGCTGTTGACTTGATGGGAAGTTTTAATGTGAAAGTTGTTCRGAATTCAATATTGAGGTTTTGCACTCTAATAGGAATCTTAGAATTATTTCACTGTGAGGAACTGTTAAAAGAATGTCTGTAGAACAGGAATTCAGGGTTCCTTTGAATTATATTTGCCTGATACGTTTATTTGRAAATACTCTGAGAAGAAATAGGCTGTGTTAGCTTTAACCAGCATCYAAGAAAGACACCCCCAGCTCTCCCAGCCTGGCTCCAGAGCAGAGGGKCTCCAGCCCTTGAAAGGAGGAAATGTGGCACCAGCATGGAAAAGAATATAGGTAGAAACCKCAGGGGCCTAAATTTAGGGGGAAAAAAATTGTTCAATGGTTTTTAAAGACTGTAAAATCACAGTCTAGAAAGGATATAATTTTGAACAGGAAATAATAAAATTTTGAATGGAATCTCTCCTAACTGTTCAAGGCAGGATAACAGACTTACTAACTCTTTGCAAAACAACCTATCTTTTTGTATGTAAATAAAACRCTTTTTATGCTACAAGGGGAGAAATATTAACAATTTAAATCTAGGTKGTGTGTTTTAAAGCCTATGTCAGCGCTAATGCATATTATGATTTTGGGTACTTCTCTTTTTCCTTTCTCTTAGAAYTTATCATTTCACAAGTACTAGTTTTTGTGCTCATGAAATATGACATATTTTTAGATCCRGAGACCAAAGGCTTTTCATTTTCAGTGAAACAAGATACAGCCAGACTACAGAGAATGTTTCCTCATATGGCTATAGGTCTGATATCATGGTTTTAATTGAGGTTAGTTCCTCTTCCTCACACTGACAGTGCTGCTCTGGGAATTGTGAAAAAGTTGGTGAGTTTCTTGAGAAATGTTTAATGTGTGGGTGCCTGTGGATGTGTGTTGAGATCACAGCACCATTGTCACATAGTAGTTTTTATCACTTCCAGCTCAAACAGCATTGACCTTAATACACAAAAAGTGTGAAGTCTCTTAATATCTATTCCATTTGCATTTCTGACCTCAAGCCAATAAAATGATGTTAATTTAGCAACATATTCTAATGTGTGTCAGTAGTGTACTGTGACCCTTTTTATGTTCAGTAACAGTGTGCTATTTATTCCAGGATGATGTGATGATGCCACAGCGGGTTAGGCTGCAGCACGAAGTTGCCATTCAACACCCAAACAGTGTGAGTACTTTTTTCTGTGTGTGTACTTGTGGGTTTTTCTTTTACAGAGTTCCGGATACATCTTTAAAAGGATATGAAAATTTCACAGTGGGGCTGATGGAGGCAAAGCAATAACCAGTGTATTCTTTTCCTTTATTTTAATCCTTGCACTGAATAGGAGCTTTGAYTGAGCTTCTTTTCTTCCTTTTATTTTCTCTGTTCAGAAAACCAAATCTCATTATAACAGTGATACTCTTTTGCAAATAACTATATAGGTTTGGCTAATGTCTGTAAGCTAACAGAGAATGCTTTTTTAATGTAGCCTTTCTAAGTCATGTGAAAAGCCACAAAGAAATGGCTACAGCTATGGTTTATCTGCTTTTAATAATTAAGAAACTGTAAACCATAGGGAATGTATGGGTTGTTACCATTGGTGAACTGTCCTACAGTTCAGCTGATGTTTTTCTGTATGTCTGCCTGCAAAAGAAAACATTACTAGAATTCCATTCTTTATTCCTCTGAAATAAACTGTCATGAATATTCTGTGAGATAGTTTTTTTCTGATCAATATGATTTTRATTTTGYATGATTTTCTGTGATTAGAGTCAATATTCTTTAGAGAGAGTTTGTGCATATGTTTTATTTTTCCGAAGGTTTTATATATCTATATATCTATATATCTATATATCTATATATCTATATATCTATATATCTATATATCTATATATCTATATATCTATATATCTCTATATATATATAACTTATCATGGCAGTTAGTTAATTTGTCAGTACTATTGATAAAGATATTTCTTTATAAACTAGAAAACTGAGTTTGTATTCCTATCAGCAGTATTCAGGAAAATCAGCCTTATTGTTTTCACATCTCCGACATTTTCTCTTGTGACAGTTATTTCAATGTGCAGGAGRTTTCTGGAAAGGAAAGGTCAATTGACTTGGTCTGTCATGAAGGTGTTTCCTGCAGGTATCTGAACAAAACACACAGTTTTAGGATTATCTCTCTCTGTGAACTAAAAACCTTTTGAACTTTTCCTCCAAAACATATTTGCTTTAAAGTAGAGATGATTACAGTCCTTTTAGCTGAGGAATGTCTGCCAAACAACCTGCTGCTTGGTGGTGGGATGTGTACCTGCTCATCACACCACCTGTATTAGGGCTCTTCTGAAATCTGATAATCCTACAATGTAATTTATTAAATTATAGCTGTAATAGTACCTGAGCAGCAGTTAACCTCATTCACATTACAAACACAATAAAATGATAAATCAAAAGTTGTTTTTGTTCTGATATCAATCAGTTAATATAATTCTGTAGTCAGATGCCAAARAACCGGAGAGACAAGTTGATCCAGTATGCTTGTTTTATAGGAATTAGTGCTAAGAGCTATTTCTTGCTTATATGGCTTCTATAGATGTAAATTTAGACTTTTCTGGTTAGACTAAATTCAGCTAAACAGTTTGTAGTCTTTTTAGAAAGCACTTCGACTGTTTTGTTTATATTCTGTTACACTTTAATACATGACAGCCTTCAGTATGAACTATTAAATGATAGCCAAAAAAGTAAAGAAGGGGACCTGAGTAGAATGAAGGACATGTCTTTATGATCTGTTGTAAGTAACACAAACTTGTTATTCCTATGTTCTAAATTCATTTAAATTTATGGTCCTGTTTCAGTGTGGAACTTGTGGCCTGGCCTTGGCTAGGTGCTGTCATTCCTCAGAAGGGCAGAGTGGTGGGAAGAAGAGAAGATGGAAGAAATTYGTGGGTCAGGGTAAATGTAATTTATTAAAAGCAAAGGAATAGTCCTTTGGTCAGTTTGGATCAGCTGCCCTGACTGCCACTCCAGCACGTTGCCCACCTCCAGCCTAGTGGAGAGGGGAAATGTTGGAGAGACAACTTTGGTGCTGTGGGAGCAGGAGCCAGACCCCTGGTGTGTTACCAACMCACAGCAGTGTGAGGGCTGTCATGGCAAAATTAACTCTATTTCCACCAGACCCAGCACATTTTCCATKTTACAGGTATAGAAAATGTTTGGAATGCCTATGTGAGGTATAAACTTCTGGGTTAATGTTGGATCTTACAAAACTCTAATTCAAGGGCCTGAAGGAAAAAGGGGAACATATCCATTTTTTTCTGGTGAGCAAATAGATCAGTTTGGTCCTGAGCCTCTCAATAGTTCTGACAGAGCTTTGAGAAAAGTGGACTTGGTCACAAATCTACTGACCAGTGTCAGGGTGGCCTTCTGTTCTTCGAAGAATGATCTCTCTGCTGTCCTCAGAATAATCAAGCCATTCAGTTTTCTGGCCTTAGAAGATGTTTGGGATGTTTGAAAGAAGTTTTGTTCTGCATTTGAAGTTCTGGCCTGGCTTCAATCACTCTGATAAACCAGAGTAGGTGGAGGGGCACAAAAAAAAAAAAAAAAAAAAAAAAAAAAAAAAAAGCAGAAGGTTGAGAAATGCCTGTGAAGCAGTGAGCTTTTTTTGGTTTGTTCCTGAAATTCTAATTTGCAGACTTGCACTTTCCACTGTTTTGCAACTTCTCCGGACCTGGATTTTTGACTTTATGTAGTCTCAATATACTTTCAAAAATTTTATTCCTAGTTCTAGTCCTGCTGATTGTTACYGGGAGTCAGATTTGAAGACTGGTGTACCCAGCAGGCCCTTATATTGTAGACTTTAGTCTACTGTTGTTACTACTGTAGATCTACAGGTAGGAAAAGTCTCTAACTTTCTCCATCAAGAGAAAGGTCCTAATAAATCCCAGTGTTTCTTCCTCTTTTGTGTTACTCTTAAATACAAATTGCTTTATTCAGACTTGAAACCTGGTTACTAAACAGCAGAATCAAAGATATCACGTCTCTGAGATCTTCCCAACAAGAAGGGCCTGGTGCCCACATGCCCTCATGTTACACTGTGCCCCAAGGTGCTTTTAAATGGCCTCTGCTCTACTCAGAAAAGGAAGGAGCCATTTATCCAGGGTAAGCCAGGTGTTGCTTATTTACCAATCACAAAAAATATATGCTTTGYTGGCAGCTAATGAATAGGAAGATTAAAGATTTTATTTCCCTTCATTTCCCTTAATTCTGGATAAACCATGCCTTAATGTCTTGTTTTATATAGGCATGTGTTCTTCTGTACATTCTAGTGTTCTATAGAACAACATTTCTGAGTTTGAAGTARCCCAGGAAATTATTTTCCAAACCACACAAACTCTGCAGTCTTTCACCCTGACTCACATTTATTCTGTTATTGAATTTCAACAAAATAKTGTAAGAACTGTGTAAGAACTCGCTAAATTTTTTGTTTCAAGGGGAGAGGRGAATGTCAGTGGCATCTGCTCCCTGGTTGTCTTGTTGCTGGATGCTTCTGGCAGGCCCTGCTCTGGGCACATGGAAGGAAAATCACTGGATCTGAGAGCAATCTTGGAGGCTATGAGTAACATTAAACAGCTTAAAAAATAGCTAAACTTTTGCTCACTGTCTCCCACCTCAGTGAGAAAACAACAACTGCAGTCAGAATGTTGAGCAATAGAAATGAAGAACATTATTTGCTTTTGTTTTCACTGGCTCAGTAGGAGCTGAATCAGTACCAGTGTCACAATGAACACCTTTCTGTTTGTTGTGAAATTACTATCATCTGTCTCAAACAGGTAGGAATACCTGAGAGAACACTGAATATACCATTTGCATTTCTTCTATGAGATATTCTCACTATTTTGCATCTCTAAAGCAGATTTTTGGCTTATTCTGTAGCTTGGATTTAGATCAAGAGCAGCAGTGCCTAAAGCAGTTTTTATCTATTGCATTATCTGMCTGTGTTAACCAACTGCCTGAATTCTGCATATCTTTGATGGTTAATGTGACTGGATCAAGTAAACTGAACAATGTCTGGTGCTGGTGGCTCACAGAGCTGTTCACCTGCTCTGGGAGAGCTGGAAACAAATATTGCACAATTGGCCAATGARTTGGAGAAACGAACAGATGAATGAGAGCTGAGCTGCTCCTTTCTTTAAGGCACAGCTCTAGGCCAAAGGTGTTGGCTGTTTCCCTCACACCACTACTGAACTTCACAAATTAACTAGATTTAGAAGTTAAGGCTTTCTTTTTCTTTTTGGTCTGGAAACATACGTTTTTTTTATTTTGAAGGTTATAATCCAACAGATAATTTTTTTGTCATGTCTTTGTACCCTGTACTGTTCTGCTTGTCGTGACATGTCACACATTTCTGCCATGYGCTAGAAGGTAGAAAGACTGTTTTTCCTTCCTCCCTTACAGAGTGCCCGGCTTACAGAGAGCACTAGTTTGAATCATATTATTCTTTTCTTATGACTAAAATGATCAGATCCACTTGGTTCTTGATTATGTCAGTCCTTATAGCTTCCACCTTATGAATTTAAATCAATATCTGAAATTGCAAGTAAAGATCTTCTTAGTAGCAGTATAAAAAGTATACTAGTGTATTCTCTTTCTTAGCTATCATTAAAATACAGTTTTACTGGCACATGAAGTAGATATTCATGTGGAACAGAGCTGTAAGGTCAGCATTCTGRTGTTAAACATGGATGTCATCATAATGAGATCTGATTTAAAGAGTGACAAGAGTGATTTTTGCCTTGACAGTACACAGGTTTTTTTATAGAAGTTAATCCATGTGAGCAGGTCTGAGAGAATGTATTAACAAATATTGAACYTTTTTTGTTCTAAGTGAAAAAAGTTTCATTGACATTCTTGCAGCATCTGTCAGTGATTCCCATATTTTAGATCCAGCTCTTGGCCTTGGAGGTGGGGAGGCAGGGAGGGAATTTTAGGTAGGCTGGACCAATTCCCACACACAGTCCCCCTGTATGTCAGAGCACTTCTTTCAGTGGATATTCACTGATTCTTTTGTACACAAAGGAGCGTTGGATGTAAATAGTGTSTTCCAAGTGATTTGTTTTGCTGACAAGTAAAGGCATTGTGTACTCAAGTAGTGGAAAAAACATCCTGACAACTTTCTGTGCCATCTC